CCACCGGCTCCCAGCACCGGGCACCGGCATGGCAGGGTGCCGGGCCAGCCTCAATGAGGCCTTTGTTGGGGAAAGTAGGCGGGGGAGGCTCCAGCCCAGGTTTTTCCATGTTCCTCTTGCTCGAGTTAATTAAAGTGGAAACTGAAGCCGAGCGCTGACACGGGCACTGAGCGGAGCTGGGGCTGGGGCCAGCGAGGAGGATGCAGACCCCTCATCTGTCCTGGAGGGACATGGCCCCGTAGTGCAGGAAGGGGGGAGTCAGCTCCAGAAGGAGCCAGGTCCTGTCCTGAGCCCAGGCAGCTGCGAGTGCCGAGCTCCGGGCAGGAGCAGGAGCAGGAGCAGGAGCAGCATCCCCTGGAATGACTCCAGTGCAGCCCAGGACTCCGAAGAGCCCGGCCACTGCAGACCCTGGGGGACACCCAGACAGGACCCCCAGCCAGCCCATGCCCAGAGCCGGTCAGGCGGGAAGCATTGGGCATGGCTGACTCATCCAGAGAAGGTGCTGGGCTCGCCAAGGAGAACCCTTCCCTGCCAGCAGCAGGCTGGCGCTTCCCCCGCCACCCAAAGGGATGCAGGACTCAAACGGAGCTCAGGAGCGTTCGTACGGAGCCACGGGGCTGCATGAGGGAGGGAGCGCTGAGCCAGCTCTCGGCAGCCAGCTGAAGCAATTGTACAACCCACGAAGGCAAGCGGAGGCCCAAGACCTCACCTTCCTCGCTAAGAGGCCACAGTCAGCCTCTCCAGAAATCACCCACCGCTCTCTCAGGAGCTCTTCTTGAGCCACTGGGCTGCAGCCGCCCCAAGCACCCAGCCCGAGCAGCCACCTGCAGCTGCACCAAGGTTTTAGCAAGAAGACAACAAACTCGCAAGACACGTTTTTCTGTGTAAACAAGGACTTGGACCTTCCAGGCCCAGCAGCCACCCCAGGGTCAGGAGCCTGTCGGAGACTTTGGACTTTGCTGAAGCCCCTCCCCAGGTGCTCCAAACAGAAAAGGGAGCCCCACGGCACGGCTCTCCCTGTGCACCGCCACGGATGAGATCAGGCCCATCAAAAGCAACAAGCAGGGGATGGGGCTGGGGAGCCAACACCTTCACT